GAGGCAGAGAGGTTGGTCAAGGGGTACAACTTTCCAGGTCAACAAGAGGAAGAGGTTCTGGTGTTCCGCTACCCAAAGGGTGAGTGCAGTCGACAATAATGCAGGTTTGTCCCAAAGGGGCTGGATGAGAGGAGATTGGATGTTCTCACCATAAAGACATGATAAAAGTTTAAGGGGATGAATATTCTAATTACCCAATTTGATCATTACACAAGGTACACATGAATCAAAATTTCACTTGTACCCCATAAATATGTACCATTATTATGTGTCAATCAGAAAAAAAGAGAGGAAGGGAGGGAGGGAGGGAGGGAGGGGAGGAGGAAGGGAGGGAGGGAGGGTGGGTGTTTGGACAAGAGAAGAGCTATCAAAGACTTAGGAGCTGACTGACAGGTGACCACTGGCTATCTTCCAGAGGAGTGCCCAGTGCTGCTGTCTGGCAGATGCTCTGGGGTTATCAGGGTCTGTAGGGGTGTGCATCTTAGCTTGCCCTGGATTGCCTGGGCTATTTTACAGCTCTATAGACATAGAAATTAAATTGTATTAAACTGATAACAATGCAAATGTTCTCCCCACCCCCAGCTGTGAAAACCATTTTCAGCCAGGGCAATGCCAGTGGATTTTTATCTGGTAAAGAAGTAAAGCCTCCATGGGTAAAATTCTCATTTGAACAGCTTCTACCATTTTACTGGTTCCTCCACTAATTAATGAATAAATAAAATATTTGTTGTACATTAATTTTTAGAATGTGTACTTGTTCATTGTCTGCTTATTGACACTGATCTCTGTTGAAGAGATGTATTCATCATTTTTTATCTGTACTTCCAGATCTTTGACTTCTGGGGCCTGCTCCTCCCTGAGTTAGCCAACCCCTACAATAGTACACAAGTTGCCCACGCGTGTGCATGCTTTTCAGACACACACACACACACACACACACACACTGAATTTTTCCTTCAAAATCTTACACTGAAGCCCTAAACTCCGAGTTGGATGGCATTTGGAGATGGGCCTTTGATAGGTAACTAGGGTTACATGAGGTCAGAAGTGTGGGGCCCTGATTCAGTGGGACTGGTGTAATGATACAAGGAGGAGAGGGCAGAGGGGAGCTCTCTTTCTCAATGCATGCAGAGGAAGTCACATGAGGACAGTAGAAGGCAGTTGTCTACACACCAGGAAAAGAGCCCACAGCACAAACCAAATCTGCCGGCGCCTCCATTATAGATTCCTGGAATCTAGAAAATAAATGTGAAGCCACAAAGTCTCTGGTACTCTTGTTCTCGCAGCCCATGCAGTCAAAGGTAACGGCCAATCCAGAGCCCACGGCCCAGCCAGGCGGCTCCCAAACCCAGGTACCACGACACAGGGAGCCTGGAAAATGTGAGCGGCCCGGCCTCTGCCACTCCTCGTCTCTGCACCCCAGCACAGCTTTGCACCTGTGACGGTCATGACTGTTAGCTGAGTAGCAGAAGAAGGCTGGGCTCAGAAGAGGTGTGCAGGGCGCGGCGGCCCTACCTCTGGCACCTGCAGGCAGCGGGTAAGAGCGCGGATCACCGTAGAGGGCTCGGCGGTGGCCTTCTCTGTGATGATCACCGAGGCCAGGGTCTTGCGCATGTCGAGGCCTGCCCCAGCCATGTCTGTCTTTGCTGACTCACTGTCCATGATGTCCAGGAGGTTTGTGACTTGTTGGTAGATACCTGAAACAAAGAGGGCACCGGTGCCGTGCGGAGATGGCCGTCACAGGAAGCCCCTGCACCTGCTCAGCTCCAGCCTCCCCAGGACATCACGCCCACTGGGAACACGGAGAAGCTGAGACCCAGGTGGGCTGGTCTGCAAGCAGTGAGTGGCCGAGTGGGACAGGAAGGTGAGGTTGGCAGTGACCTCCTTACCACTGTCATCTAATGCAAGACCCTCCGCGTCCTCTGCTTCCTCTGACACGTCTCCGTTCACGTCTGCGGCTGCTTCTGCCATCTCTTCCTCAAACTCTTGCGAGATAAATGAGATTTGTAAAGGGCTCCATATGGCAACACACCCTTCCCCCGAGTGTGGGCAGAACCAGTGGCTTGATTCTAACAGGATATGACAAAAGCAAAGGGTTGCCACTCCCATGATGCTCTTGTTAACAGAAGCCTCCACCTCGGCTGAGCGGAGATGCGCGTTCTGCTGGCCTTGAGGAGCCAGCAGGCAGCATTCGAGCTGCCTGGGGAGGGGCATGTGGTAAGGGATGGGGCCTCACTCCTCAATCCTGAGGAACTGAATCCTGCCAACAGTCACAAGAGTTTGGAAGAGGTCGCTGAGCTCCAGAAGGGAAGGCAGGAGAGCCAAGACCTTGATGGGGCCTCTGAGGCCCTGGGCAAAAACAACCCAGCTGAGCCCAGACTCCTGAACCACGAACACTGTGGGATAATCAGTGGGTGTTCCTTTGAGCCACTGGGTTAGTGATCATTTGTTACACAGCAATAACTAACTATTACACTTGGTTAAAATGTCCCCCTTACTCTTCTAGATCCTGAAAGTTCATGACTCCTGAACTCAATTACTCTCCTAAGTCCCTTCAAGGGCTCTCCCAGCTTCTTAAGGGCTGACAAACGCCAACACAGATGTTAAGGCAGGGATAAGAAGCTCCCAGCTCCTGTCTCCTTTTGTCCCAAGTTCCTCTGTCCTCGAGGCTCATCCTAGGGCCCTTCACCATGGTGGTCTTTTCTTCCTGGGTTTCCTTTAGCTCTGGGACCTAAATACTGACCTTTTCTCAGAGTCTTCTTATAGATGGAACAAAAGTATGCCTCTAAGAGAAGCTCTGTTCCTTGCCTACTGCACATCAACAGGAATGCGAGCACTGGCAGCCTCAGGTGCCCCCGTGAGGCCGTTGGCCTCCTCCATGGCGGTTCTCATGAGCAATGTGCCGCCCGGCAGCGTGGGAGGGGGCATTAGAACGGGCACCCGTTAGACCCCAGACCCTCGGAACTTTGAGATCCAACTGCCCAACTCTCTGTCCCAACCCAGGGCTTTTGGGGGGTGCACAGGGCCCTGGGATAAAAGCCCCACGTGGTGTCGTCCTTAAACGTTCCTCTTGCCCACTCGTGGGTGCTGATGTCCCGCGGCCTGTTTGGAAAAGGGAAATGGTGAGGGTAGGGGTGATTCACAGCCACTTCCCAGGGGAGGGAGCCCAGGATGGGGCAGCCGGAGACAAGAGGAGGAGTGACAGAGTCTGGGGATAGGACTTCATCTTGCCAAGGATCAGACAGTGTGCAGGAGGGGAGCCCTCTTGGAAGATAAATGACCTCAAAGACAGGTAGAGGAGCTGGTGCTTTTGGCTTTTAGTTTCAAGGTGTCACTCGAAACTAAAACAAATGGTCCAGACCCATATTTGCACAAAGAAGGATTGGCCTCAGGGAAGCTTTCTAAGCCTTCCCGGCTACGGAGCGAGAATGAGAGCCACACCCAGGTCCAAGGCTCCTTAGTTAAAACTTGTACTTAAAGTTGCCCATCCTGCCAAGTGGGGGTTCTCCAGCCTCTGCCCAGTCGCCTCTAACACCACAGAGCTCACTTCTCTCAGATGCTGCCTATTTCGACATCACAGAATTGGGTTGATTAGAAAATGAATTTCCATCATATCACTCAAACACATCTTCCCCATAAAAGTCCTTCACTTTTCCTAATCCTGCCTTTGGAGACCCATCAATCATTATAGACTAGATTCAAGAAGGTGGTCGCCTGCACGTCTTCTTTCACAGCTCCTCTGCAGTATCTCCTCCCTCTCCCCACCAGGCCTTATTATCTCTTTCCAGGATCACGCAAATCAGAGGGCTACAATTCCAAAAATACTTCCACATGCTTTGATTGCATACCTCTGTGTGCAGCTAAGCATGGCGGGATACAGGGTGGGTAGGGTACTTCTTTGTCCTCTGAGGGTCTTCAACCCAACACATGAAGGATCATGGATTTAGAGCCAAAAGTGAAGGTGTCAGTTAGCAATTGGTGTGTAATGAACTACCTCAAAGCTTAACGACTGAAAACAATAATTATTTCCACAAGTTCGTGGGTCAGTTGTCTGGTGCTGTTGATCTGGACCATGTCCATCCAAGTGCAGTTGGAGTCACTCAGGCACCCACAGTCAGCAAAGTGGGTGGCTATGGACTGGTTGCTGGCTGGGTACTGGCAGAAGTGAGGAGGGTAGCTAAGATACCAGTCTAGCCCACGCAGTTTCCTAGCAGTTTGGCAGGACTCCAAGAGAGTGAGTGGAAACATGAAGGCCTCCTGGGACCAGCACCTATTGCTTACCACTTCCTCTCAGCCAAGGCAAGCCACAGACCAACCCAGACTCAAAGGGTGGAGATAGAGATACCCGCTCTTGATGGGAAGAGTGGCAAAATCCTACTGTGAAGGATGTAGCTATCAAGAGGATGGAGAAAGGCCTGTTTATTAAAATTATATGCCGAATAACGTGTAATCTTCATGGCAAAAAGTGTAATGCCCTTGAACCCATTATCAAAGAGATTAATGTGCGGGCTCTCTCATCCAGCGAGGAGGTCCACGGAACAGGGTAGAGGAGAGTGTGGCTGTGGAGTCGCTATTCAAGATCTCTGTTGCACATTTACCATGAGCATATACTCAGGCAATTACAGGCAGCCAGCAGTACAATGTCTGGCCAACTGTCTTTGCAGCGACCAATTGAGGAGCGGGCTCTGGAGCAGGCACAGGGACTGTAAGACTATGCCTACAGGGTAAGCGTTTTCCACTTACACACCTAGCATGAGGGGAGAGGTTTGCCACTCAGATGCCCTTAACACATGCCATGTATGCAGCACTCCATGCACGTGTCCCCACGTCTCTCCCCTCTGACTGTGTGGCAAGGACTTTAGCCAGCATTGCTATTATTCTTTGGGTGGCCTTTACATGTTACATAAGCGTCTCACAACACAAGAAAAAAAATTATCACTATTATAAAAAGTAGGGCCAGGATAATAGCATTATAAGGAGAAGTTAATTTGGCTATCAGATTTTTCCAGTGTTTATTCAATCCCTGGAAGAAAGAAGAGATTGTTAAGATAGACACCTTAGCCTCATTGATTTTGACAATTACCTTAGTAAGGTCATAAGATAATCAATATCCCAAGCACCTTTAATATACTGAGAAAAATTGGAGAAGTGTAAGGTTACATTTTCAGATACAGCATATTGGATGACATGAATACTATGAAATTCAGGGTCATAAGTGAGCCTTTACAACATAAACAGAATATCTAGTTATTCCTGTGGAGGTCTAGTGCTTGCCGAATGACTAAAATAGTGGCTCAGGACATGTCATTTTGAATGGCAAAGGCTTCTGCCGTGGCAGTAGACACATTGCCCACAGTCTGAGCCAGCTGGATATTCTGGGTGAGCGAAGCAGCAGCCACCAGGGCAATAATCCCAGTGACGATGAGGCTAATTGCACGCCTTGTCTGGTGTAGAATCTCAGAAGATTCTTCATCTCCATGTCCCATGGACTCCTCCCCTCTCTGGACAGGGTCACTGGAAGCCAGACTGCTGGGGGCACTCTGAGGATAAATACACGTTTAGCGGTCATAGCAGGGGTTAGGCAATTTGTGAGCCAGCAGGATGTATTGTCAGCACAAGGGATCTCTGTTGGAGTGATATTTATGCCCTCAGTATCACTGATAATTAGCATGGCAAAGGGTGGCATAACACACACACACCTGTGCATAGAGGGTATGGGTATAATTTGGCATAAAGGCAAATGGTAAGGGTCTGGACTCAATGTCAACCTATTCATCCAGCAGGTTGATGCCCATGGATGGCTCTAACAGCCAACAATATTCCGGCATAATATCTATTATGCCATACTGTTTCCTGCATAACCGTTGGTAATGGCTCGTCCTGTGCAGCAGGTACTGCAGTGGCCAATATGGTTTTGGGGCACATCAGTTACATTCCAGGGAGCTGTGCCCACCCAGGAGCATAGACGTTGTCCTTCCCCAGAGAAATTCCTCTCATCGAGGAGATAAGGTATGGCAGTGACACATTGATTCCATGGGATGCTATCATTATCCAGGGGGGCGGGGGGCTTTCCAAAAAGCGTTGTTGGGCATGTTGGCAGCAAGGGTTTCTTGCATTTGCCATGGGGGAGTCTATGGCCATAGGTAGTATTAACTGTAACTCTAAGGTCAGTGAGAGACAGCCCAACATAAGGCTTATTATAGTTTCATTGACAAGAGCAAAATAGAGGTGACTCTCTGGATTGTAGTTTTCATTATCTACTACAAAGAAACAAATGGGAAGAGTTGCTATGGAAATGCTGGTTCCAGGGTACCGTCACCTCCTGGATGAATAACTCAGGATCAATAAGGTTGGAATTATTAGAGAAGAGCTCAGGTAAAGGCCCTTCCTAATTAGCAACTGCTAAAGGTGGTGGCTTAGTAACCAAAGTTCAATTTACCTGACAGGAGGCTTCACTGTTAGCAGTGAGCATTGCACACAGTAGGACCACCATCATAGGCCCAGGGATGGGGTTGCCACCAGGCAAAGGGGCCAATCTGGTGGCTTGGTCAGCAAGACCTTTAAGACCACCCCAGGTTACTTTATGTGAGGTCCATTAGTGTTGTTGAGTTCTTTGCCTGTGAGGTTTTTCCTCCAGAGTTAGTTCCTTCACCTTCTTGGTTGGTGGTTCTGGGGGTCCAGGGCTTGACTTTCTGCCAGGCACCCAGATGGGTGAGGCTCCTGTTAACATATGCAAACCCTCGACCCATGTTTAGGAGGGGCCCCAGACCACCCCATGCATTTGTTATGGGATCCTTCCATGAGACCATGGGTAGATGGGAGGGCCCCAGGAGGGGGACCCAATGTTTATGAGCTGCTGTTTCCATAGAAAATTTTGACATTGAAAGAAAATTTAAGGCAAATAAAGTTTTGTTCAAGGCATTGCAAGGAGACTTGGTATAGTTTCCCCCATGTTTTATAGCATGGTCTTTAATTCCTTGTGTGTTCTTTCTATGATGCCTTGAGTGTGGGGGTTATAGGGGATTCCAGTTAAGTGCTATATATGCCATTCATTGCAACCTGCTTGAAATGTCTTGCTCGGGTAGGCTGGCCCTTTGTCAGTCTTAATAGACATGGGAATACCCATAATTCCAAAACATTGAAGTAGATGGGAGATGACTTTTTGTGGTTTCTCCTGTGGAGGCTGTGGCCATTTCACAGCCTGAATGGACATCAATGATTACATGAATGTATTTTAAATTTCTAAAAGGTGCATAGTGAGTGACATCCATTTGCCAAAAAGCACTAGATTTTAATTCTTGGGGATTCACTCCATCGGGTTGTAAAGAGCCACTGGGGAGAAAAGATGCATATTTTTTGCGTTCTCTCACTAGCTGTCTGCAGGCCTCCTTAGTCCTGCTTTTATGCAACTGCCCTGGCTGAGGCCAGCAGAGAGGCTCGAGCTGCTTGTGTCCCTCTATCCTGGGTGGCCAAAGTCCACTCATCCAGTGTGCCATTGCGTACTGGTGCCACTGCTGCTCTATGTTCCTTATTTGGTCCATCCCAGATCAAACCCTTGGCTGGTGCTGCCCTAGCTCCTTCTTGAGACACCTTCCCTTCTATTGCCTTGTTGACTCTGTCAATAAACTGTGGCAAGTCCCCGGTGGCTCTCTGCCTTAAGCCCTGCAGAGAAACTGTGCCTCCCGCAGCTGGTAGCTTCCTCCAGGCTCTCAGAGCACAGAGCCGTACCTGATTGAAATAATTTGGTAGATTCCCTGTCCCTGCAGGCATTCAGCTGGGAGGTTGACATTTGTGGTGTGGTTACGATCTCCCTGCTGCTCACTTGCATCATAGAAGAATGTCTTCTACTTCAAAAACGCTGCCGGCTCAAGAGCTGCTCTGGCCAGGTCCTTCCAGTCCTGAGTGCAATTAAGTTCAAGACTGAGCGACTGAGCGATTTGAGCCTTTGCTCTGCAAATGGCCCCCAGGGTGCATCCTCTTTTACTGCCTTCTTCAACTCTTTCAGGGTGCCCAGCATGTGTGGGTACCAAGTGGCAGGGCACTGTGTGTGGGGTCCGTGTTGACTGGGAAGGCTGGTATCCTCTTACCCCACTTTTCATCTCTTGTCCTACATAGATCTTCAAAAGGACCTCTGGCCTCCCGGAATGGGTTTCTGGGAGACCATGGCTTGGGCCTGTCTGTGGCCTTGTCATTTGCTGTGGCATTGCCTCATAAGGAGGCAGTTGCCATTGACTTAGGAAAGGATATAGTCGTTGCCTGTCAGTAGAAGGTGCACCTGCACCATTTGGGGTCACCTCTTCTTGTTCCATGAAGGCCAGCGGTACCTTCTCCTGTCTCTCTCCCTCCTGCACCTGCTGTGGTTGCTTGCTTTGAGGTAGATTTTCACCCCCACTGCTCTTCCCTTGTCCGTGTCTCACAGCCTCATCTTCCCTCAGGGCCATCATTACATGACAAGGATCTGTTGCGGGGGCCCCCTAAACTTTGCTGAATGGCTGTCACAATAGAAAAAAATGTCATGGTAAAGTATACCCCTGTCTCACTTCAGCTTGCCATGCATTTGCCATTATCTTGTCCCATATCCTAGGATCAGGAACATCAGTGGCACTGATCCATGGGCTGGTATCTGTCACTACGTCCCAAAACTTCTGGGCTTCTCTTATTCAGGGTTAAACCTCTAGTATCCAAGAGAGTGTGCAGCACTTGCAGCTGTGAGACTATGGTGGAAAGTTCCCATTTCCCCTTCCTCACTGCTCTGTGAGGGGCCACACCCTTTCATGTAGACTTACCTCAGATCCCTGTTCGGGTGCCAGGTGATGGGCTCTCATCCAGCGAGGAGGTCCATGGAACAGGGTAGAGGAGAGTGTGGCTGGGAGTCACTATTGAAGACCTCCGGAGACCAAGCAGGAAGCAGGTCTGACTTTATTGCACAGTTAACCATGTACGTATACTCAGGCAGGAGCTAAGAGATTTCAGGCAGCCACCAGTACAGTTTCTTGCCAACTGTCCTTGCAGCGACCAATCAAGGAGCGGGCCGTGGAGCAAGCACAGGGACTCCAACACATGACCTCACGCCCAGGACTGTGTCTACAGGGTAAGCAATTTGCCACATACGCACGCGCCTAGCATGAGGGGAGTGGTTTGCCACTCAGATGCCTTTATCGCATACCATGTATGCAGTACTCCATACTTGTCCCCACAGATTAAAATACTTTTTTTTTCTGATCATGACAATACTGTTGAACTCACACATAATCCTTTCATAAAATAAAACACTCTTAGGTGCTGCCATTCTATTGAGCTTCCCACCTCTGTTTCTATGGGAACAAACCAGGAAACAGGAAAACACTGTATTTGTAGAATACACATGAGATAAATAAACCTTTTCTAAGTTAGCTACCTCTAATATTTTGTTGTAGTAACATGAATTGAACAATATAGAAAACTGGTGTCAGAAGTGAGATTGATCATCACGATAGCTATACCTGAAGATGTGTGTGGGGGGGAGCCTTTTAATTGTTCAACAGAAAAAGGATGGAAAATTTGGAGGAGTAAATTATAGAAAGCCTACAATGCTGTAAGCACTGTGGGTGATTCTAGTGAGGGCTCAGAAGACCAAAATGCTGATAGGAATGTGGACAGTAAAAGCCTTGTTGATGAGGTCTCTCATGGAAACGAGGATCCCATTGGGAATTGGAGAAAAGGCCACCCTTTTGTCACACCATGGCAAATAATTTGAATATATTACTTTGTGATGACTTTAAATGTGGTAGGCTAATTTATTTGGTACAGAAGATTTCAAAATAGCAAAGCATTTATACCATGGATGTTATTGGCTGCTTTTAGCCAAATTTACATTGAGAATCAAGAGCAAAAAGGAGCAACGAAGACTTGAAAAATGTGTAGCCTGGCCAGGAAAGGAGCACAAAAGAGTGTAAGGGTGTGGCCATGGATGGGTGTTTCTAAAGAGATTGGCACCAGTACAAAGAAGCTGAATCCGGGAAAATAGGAACCACACTTCCCAGTCATCTCAGCAATCAGCAAGGCCACCACTGTCCTCGCAGGCACAGAGGAATATTAGTGTAAGTTTGTTTCGAATACTTTCCAGGGAAGAACTGTTTCAGGAAAGAGTCCCAGGGAACTGAGAGCCCAGGACTGCTCAGAATTCACTTCTCCACACTCAGTCAGCAAAGCCCTCCACAGCCACAGTTGTGCTCCCAGTGTTGCTCACTCTGATGGAGTGCTTGGGGCCACCCACTGATGCTGGGTCTGCAGGCAGGCAGAATTGCAAGGGTTATGGGCTCTCGGTGGCCCCTATGGTAATTTAGAGTCTGGGAGGCCAGGCAGAGCTGTGCTACAAGGCTGCAGTTCCTGCAGGGAGTCTCCCACAGATGATGCATGGCACAGTTGAGGGAGTGAAGCCAAAGCTAAAGTGAGGCCCAAGGAAAACAGAGATGTCATTACATGCAGCCCCTGCAGGGAAAGCCGCAGGAAGCATGCAAAATCAGCTGGAGGCGCAGCCATGTGGGCTGCCACCGGTAGAGCCACAGAGGCAGGGATGACCAAGCCCTCGGGAGCCCGCGTCCCACCACGGTGTGCCCAGATGCCAGATATGGGGCCTTGGGGTTTGCTGTTTTCCCCGCTGGCTTCATCCTTGCTTTGGGCTGATTCCCCCTTTTCCTTTCTGCATGCCTCCCTTTAGGAATAGAAATGCACACCCTGCGACTCTCCTGCCATTGTACCTTCTACATATGTAACCTGCTTTTTTGTTTTAAAAAGGACTCACCACTGAATTTGCCTTGAGTCTCAGACGAGACTTTGGACTTGTTTCTGAGCATTGCTGGAACACTGACTTGGGGATGGAATTAACTCTTGGGGTTCTGCACTGTGAGATGGATACGAAACTCTGGGGGTGAGGAAAAGAATGCAAGAGCTTAGATCTGTCCTCCAAAGACCTGTGGGTCTCATGGGGGTCTGCAGAAGGGTTCACTGGAAAGTGATGGGGTCTTTAGGAGGTGGGGTTAGTGGGAGGTCCTTAGGTCACTGGGGATGTGCCCTCACAGGGCACTGTGAGACCTCAGTCTCTTTCTCTCACTCTCGTTCTTGCTCTCACTCTCCCCCCTCCTGGCTCAAGATGTAGTCACTTGTTTGCTCTTACACAGGTTCCTGCCACGATGTGCCACCTCCTGCCGTCCTCATCAGAACAGAGGTTGATGCGCCACTGGAACAGTTCAAAGGCACCAGGTCTTTTAACCTCTAAACTGTGAGCTAAATAAACCTTTTTCCTTTATAAGTTAGTTGCCTCAGGTTATTTTGTTGTAGTAATGCAAAGTGAGTACAGAATGTTGGAAAATACTAGCTATATTTGGTGTATCTGCAATATTTGTATGTGCTAAAATACAGGTTAATGCTGTTAATCAGCATTACTGTAAAAAACTAACTGAAATAAATCAACTTATAAAGAGGAAAGGTTTATTTTGGCTCACGGTTTCAGAGGTTTCAGTCCATGGTCACTTGGACATGCTGCTTTTGGTCTGGGTAAGGCAGCACATCATGGTGGAAGCACATTGGGAAAGAAGTTGCTTACCTTACGGTGGCCAGGAAGCAAAGAAAGAGAGGAAGGGGCAGGTGTCAATGTCCCCTTCAAGGGCTCACCCAGCAACCTAACTTCCTCCCAGTAGGCCCCACCTCTTAAAAGTTTCACCACCCCCCAATATGCCACAGGCTGGGGACCAGCCTCCAACATGTGACTTTTGGGGGACATTCAGGCTCCAAACTATAGGAGGAACGATGGTTATTTCGGGGCAATGTGATTATTGGCAAATCCTCTTTTCTAATGTGTGATATGTCAACGTCTATATTTTTTCAATTTTCTGTCTTATCTTGCATCCATAATTAGAAAATATAATTTAATAATAAATAAATGCAACACCAATATAAAGAAAAACACAGAAAAAATAATTTATGCCAATTTATTCACAAATTTTTAGTTGTGAAAAACATCAGATAAAATGTACTTGGTTTCTATCATTGACACAAATAATGATCATCCTTGCAAATGCATCGTCCATCAATTTTATAGCATCATTATTTTTCCCCAAAGTCAGTAATCATACACTGTTCTCAAGGCTCCGACCCACCCTCTCATATACAGGCTTCCTTCTTCAGATATAAAAAGTGCCTCCTAGGAACCTGAACTTAAGTGAAGACTGACTGTCACTGGAGACTCACGGGCTGGTCCACAGCAGTCCACAAACCAAGATGGTGGCATGAAAACCGCCATGTGAAGTAGGGGAAACTGTGGGACTAACCTTGAATCCTGTGTTCCCAAACAGGCCACACGACTGCATAAGGAAAATAACCCAGAGTGCCCAGGCTGTCTGTAAGCCACAGGAGAGGAGACAGGCACAGCCAGATTGAAAATACTGACGCAGAATTTGTATCTAATACCTTTATCTACCTTTAACTAGCTATTAAATTACTTTCCTTTTTATAAAATGCTCTGGGAATGTCTAACTATGGCAAAATATTTCTTTAATAAGAATAAAAAGAATTTAACACTGACCCTATTTTCAAGTTTACCTTTGATTGGAGGATAGATCAAAATTTCACCCTACTTCCCACCAACCTCTCAATGTGCCTTGGATTTGTGGCCTTTCTTCACGCTCCCCTTTTTCCCAAAGCACTTCCGGCAGCCGTAGGCACAACATTTAAAGGCGATAAATGCCACTCCCAGCACGATGGCCAGGAGGAAGCCAATGACATCCAGAGAGTGGTACTGGTACCAGGTGAGGTCATGCGCGGCGGGGCGCAGGTGCGGGGCCCCCTTGTGCCTCATCACGAACTCCACCCAGAACACAGCCAGGTCCAGCGGCTCAATGGGGCGGTCCTTGTGGAGACTGGAGAGGCGCATGATGTTCTCCTTGTAGCTAGACACACAGACAAATGTGTGGGTGCCCAGGACATCCTCGACAATGAACAAGCCACCCTTCATGCTGGTGGCCAGGGAGGACATTACCAGACTTTCTGAACTTGGTAGAGAACTGTATTTCTGTTCTAATCAGAAAGCACGCACACACGCACACACACTCTCTCTCTCTCTCAATTAATGTTCTGTGTACATAAGAAGAAGGTGAGGAAGAAAAAGAGGAGAGGAGAAAAGAGGAAGGGAGGGAGGGAGGGAGACTGGGACCCCAAATTGTACTTTTACACATTTTTAAAACCTTGCTTCCTACTTTACTTCTTAGTTATATTTTTGTGGGAATTAGATTATGCTTTTTTATAGTAAAACAATGAAACAGGAATTTTGTGTAATATTAGATTATACTTATAGAAAAATTTAAAAATCTTACTTTATAGTAAAATGAAGGAAAAAGTCATGTCATAAATGTTAGGTGGCCTCCCACATGGCCAAAGAAAAACCATTTTGAAGTGCTAACTCCAAGGTGGTGGGTACACTCTCAACTGACTCACTGACACACCAAACCACCTGTGTGCTCAATTTAGCCTGAAGTTGCCTATGCAAACTGCTAATGCAAGATGGATTCTGATTATTAGACAGTGCTGCTAGTTGAATCAGAACAAACAAATCCAAAATGGGCAGACACTTTGGTGTGCTGATAAATTAGAAGAAGGAGAAGGAAAGAGAGAAAAGTAAGATACTCCTCTTCAGGACTTATGATCATTGCTGTTCTTAAATATATCGGTATTTTATTTAAATATATTACCATAACATAATATTCATATTTGGCCATAAATCTGGCTAAATAGCTTCCTTTTATATAGCTCTTATATTAAATTTTCTTAGAAATTTCAGTCACATTTGTTCAATTTACTTTTTTTTTAAAATTTCGAGATGGGGTCTTGCTATGTTATCTAGACTGGGCTTGAATTTGTAATACTCCTTCCTCAGCCTCCCAAATAACTGGAATTATAGATGTGCATCACCACACCCAGCCAGCCATTCATTCAATATTTATTGAGCACCTATGATGGCATGGTTGTCTGCATAAACTGATACTTGAGACTTTTCCATTTTTCTTTGTGTTGCATAGGTACAGTCCTAGCTTAGACTGTTAGAAACATGGAGACAGAGATGTTTTGCTCAGAAACAAATAGTTGAAGTTAGATAATAACTTAAGCTAATGGGTTAGTGTTCTTTAAAAATAACAATGTGAGCAGGGGATGTGGCTCAGTGAGAGAGTATCTGCCTAGCATTCATGAAACCCTGGATTCCATCCCCAGCACCACAAAAAAAAATGAAAAATGAAATAATAACACACTAGAGAACTTGTAGTCATTTTTATGTCACATGTAGTCATCTACACTACTGAGCCAAGGAGCAAAGTCACGTGACTAATGTGAGTTTCATCAACACATGGACTGAAGCCAGGCGGCCAGCGTGCTGGTGCGTGGGCCGAACAGTGGGCCTGAAGTGCCAGGTCAGAAGACCATGCCCAGGAGAGGAAGGGCTGCGACCCACATCTCCTGCTCACCGAGCACTCCAGCCCAGGGTCGGGTGGCCTTCTCCCGCCTATCCACTGGCACAGCACACACTTAGCACCTCAAATCTGGGAGCCAGTCTTCAGTCCTCTCCCGCCTCCCCTGGCCAGGCTTGCTGTGTCCCCAGTGTACTGTGTCCTTCCAGGTGAATGCAACCCAGCTATTCTCATCTGTCCTCCCAATTGGTGCATCTTCCTAAAGAAAGCAACCTGGGTAAGCTGTGGTTTTAATGTGTCCCCAGAAGTTCAGATGTGGGGACTTTAATTCCAAATGCAGGAGTTAGAGGAGTGGTGGGGCCTATAAGAAGAGATTAGGTCACTGAGAGCCATGAATGCCTTTCTGTGGGACAGGCGTGGTTACTGGGAGGATAGGTTGCTGCAAACAAGGGTTCCCCGTGTTCCGTCTCTTTGACAAACGCCCTACCCTTCCATTTTTCTGCCACCTTATGACAGTGTGAAGCCCTCACCAAGTGCAACTCCCAGACCCTGGACTCGCCAATTTCCAGAACTGTGAGCCAGTAAACGTCTATCTTTATGAGTCACCCAGCCCCAGGTATTCTGTTATTGCAACGAAAATAGACAACGACAACACTCCTGACACTCTCACAGACACACACATACACATACAGGCATGCAAACACACACACTATCTATTGCTGGAAGGGACACACTGCTGGCCATCATTTCTTCCCCTGGCTGGGAGTCGGCTTGACAGCATTACCTTACACTTCATGCAGATAGCATGTGATCTGATGGCTCTTGCCCACAGAACAGTTTTCAAGAGTCATTTTTGAAAAAACGAGCATTTGCTTTTCTTCTCAGCTTTTGTCTGTGATATCACAGAACGTCCACCTGTGCGATGCCTCGTGGATACAAGTCCTCAGAGGAAACACTATACTTGTGAACCTGGGCTTGTTTTGTCTTAGGGACATTCTGCTTCTTGTAACAGAACATTTCTCTCTGCAGAAACTCATAGATGAGGCACCTATTATGGTGACTCTTTTGTTAAATAAAATTTTAAATCTAGTAGGGGAAATAAAAGGTCATAAGAACTAAAGTGTCCTTTCATAAAGTGAATCCCCAAATTATCTTATTTATGAGTCTGGTTTTGGGGGTATTTTCACACCAGAATGTTGACGGTGAACCCAAAGGGGAAAACACAGGTGGTATTCTTTACCCTCTCTCTTACCTTTTGTCATTGATGACTGCTTTTAGGGCATTTGCCAAATCATCAGAAGTCATCTCAAGGACATTCAAGGTCACGCCAGCTCCCCGCGTCTCCATGCGCTTGGCATTGTCCATCTGGTCACCGAACAAGGGCATCATCACCATCGGTACCCCGTTGCATATGCCTTCGTAAATGCCGTGGGAGCCAGCATGCGTGATGAACGCGCGCGTCTTCGGGTGACCTGGGAGGCAGAACCGTGAGGGATGCGGCTGTCCTGCGGCTGAGGCCCGGGGGGGCTGCGCTGGGCCCCACAGAAGCACACAGGGAGGGCGTGGCCGCCCAGACCCGCAGGCCAGCACCCAGCGCAACCACCCGAGAGCCCGCGCCCGTGCCCGGCTCCGACCCTCCCAACATACCAAGCAGGTCATTCTGCGGTAACCACTTGACGAGCTTCGTGTTCTTCGCGAGATTGGATGGAGGAGTTCCCGTGTAGCGCCACAGGACCTTGCAGGGGCGAAAGGAACATCTTCACAAAAGAATGTGGCAGGATTTAAAACAAAATAAAAAAGCCCCGCGACAGCAGCCGGGCAGCAAGTCCTCTGAAGGAAGAGAATGCGCATGACCTCTGCAGGGCCGAGACCTGCAACGCCGCGGGCCTGGGCGGCCGGCGAGGCTCCTCCCCGGGCACCGGCTGCGCACCAGGGCTCCCCTTGTGCGCCTCAAGGGAAAGCTTACTGAAGACAGCAGTGGATGAAGAACAGCACGTGAAAGAAAGCGAGTGTTCTAACCAACAGCCTTCTGGAGAAATGCTCCAATTAATATGAAGAAACAACATGTTATTTATTTTTATCTGAATTCTCCATTTTTAACTAAAGGTCTCTACAAGTGTCTCTTAGAGAAAAATGAGACTTCTGAGTGAAGGGGACCATGGTTTAAAGGTAGTTAAGGGTTAAATTTCACCAAAACAAGTGAAATAAATAACAAATAAAAACCACTTTGGATTAGGGAAAGTGAATGGCCAAATCTTCAGTTGCAACTAGTGGAATTAATTTAGCTACTATAAGTCTCTATGAAGGTAGGCATAGAGGAGTGATATACAGAGCCTTCTTACCGTCTGGGGTATTCTGCCCAAGGCATCAGCAATTTCCATAGCCTTCTTCTGGGGAATCTCTGAGACCATTGAACCCAAAGAGAAAACCACAATTCCATGTTCTCCAGAGGCGTTGACATAGGCTTCAAATTCCTAGAGCCATAGGAGAGATTCCCAGTTAATTGTTTGCTCATATTCTTTAGTGACTATATACATTAAGCTATGAACTGGATGTCTTTCTAACAATGTGAAAGGCAAAAATTGGGAATTTTATATCATTTCCCCTCCCTTGCTACCCCCACAGGAGCTTTACAAGGTTACCAGTGGGACCGCCTTGAGATTCGGAATCCAGGCAATGTGCTCATTTCCCAAAAGAAAAGCGGAGGTGCACACACATATCTATGCACACACATGCACGCACATCCATGTAGACTCATTCACAGCCATGTACATGCACACACGGCCATATACAGCCACATACACACAGCCATGTACATTCATGCACACAGGGTGGCCGTCCCACTTTGGGAAAATGGAGCTCTGATAATCATGGCAATCCTCCCCAGCCCTAGGTAATTAATGATCCGATTACCCTGAGAGTCTCCCAGATAGTTTTATGTGTTCACGAAGCATATCAAGGCCACTGATGCAATTGTGAAATGGTAGGTTTGCATACAACTGGGGGTTCCCTGGGATATGATACTGGGGAAGCCAGGACCCTGGTAAACCTACCTGTGAGGTACAGAAGACTTCTCATGGGGCTCAGCATGTGTCACTTGAACGGCAACATTTGCCAAGCTCAACCACAGACATGGACAGAAAAGTGCAAACACTGAGCAGCCTTCCCAGGGAGGAGCCACTCCCACCCACCCTCACCAGGCTCAGACCCTCAGAAGTTGTCTGGCTCATCATAGCAGCTGACCTTATCCAATGGTCTCATCAACTAGGTCAGAGAGGCCAACTCATTCTGCCCACCACACCACATTTTTGGTCAATGGCAAGAACATCCTGACCATGGCTCTTCTAAAATCCCTCTTCCAGGGATCAAGACCACATGCCTCCTTCCCTCTTTCCTGAGGCAGATCACATATAAGTGCACTTTCCTACTCAGTGATGTGAATGGCTGACCTTCACTCCTATAGGCTACATTTAATCTTGTAGGGAAAAGGCCAGAGTCTAATTTCCTATCTTTTACACTCTCCCACACCCATTCTGCAACCAGGAGAATGTGATAAACACAATGTCAAGCTCACAGCTCCACAAACATCCAGTTGAATAGCAGGACTTAAGCTCAAATGGCATGAAAGTTCACCTACAGGTGACAACAGAGCAACCACAGAAATCGTGTTATCACAGCCAGCACCCAGCCCTGTGCCAGCTTTTGTGGGGTTGGATAAAGCTGGGGTTGATCCCTCTCCTGCTAATACTTCCTCTAAACCTTGCCCTAACTTCACAGCCACTGGAATGGCCAAAGAGTGAAGCAACATGTTAACTGAAAATAACCTTTGATTCCCCCACCCCTTGACTCCTTCCAAAAGGGAGGAGACCCTCTCACCTTGTAGTGAAAGGATTCCCCACTCTGATGAGCCCTCCTCCACTCAAGACAAAAACTTTAGAAGAGCTCCTAAATTTTACTGGGTACTTTTAGTTTCAGGATTTTATCATATTTTCCCTTGGCAAATATCTTTTTGCTTTTCAAGAGTCCAATTCAACGACATGCTGGAAACCTCACGCTTTACCACTTTACCCTCAGGTCAACCACACCTACTCAGGGCTTCCTCTTCCTGTGCACATTCCTCCAGGCCACCCCGAAGTCTCTGCCTCCCTAATCTTGTATCTGGCCACAGTCTCTGAAAGGCTACAGTCCACAAAGAGCCTCTCTCCCTGCCAGAGGAATGACTCCTGGATCTCTTGAGGCTCACTCCTTTCTCACCAAATGTTGTTCTCCAATTCTTTTCCTTCCAGACCCACTGAAGATGTGTTAAAGCCGGGTCATGTTTTCTCTAGGGATGCTCTTAATGGAATAAAGACTTTGTCTTTATTCTTGAAGTTCAGGACTTCCACCCAGAGGGCTGGAACTAGGACAACTGCCACCAGAGGGAAGGGAACGCAGAGCAGTTTTAACTAACAAAGGGGTAGAGAGAAAACAGCGCGTAATTTGACAAACCAGCAAAAATCAGGCAAAGAGGGAAACAGCAAAGTCAATGAAATGTAAAATAAATCAGACAAGGTGCAATCAAACCTAGTCATAGAGTCAAACAGGCAAAATTCACCTATTAAAGCAATATGTCTGGCCAGATTACAAATACCACCTTCATGGTATATAAAAAGAAAGTCTGAAGACAGTGGGCACTGAAGAGGTATGAGGGAAATTTTAAAAAGGAATACAGGAGTGGCAAAATTAACTTATATAAATAGTTGGATTTCCGATTAAAACAAGACAAAGAAGGCTACTGTCAGCTACAGTTACATGGATATTTTCACACCTGAGCATGTGTGCACCAAACAAAGCATCCACCAATAGGTAGTTTGTGCAATTCACCAAATTTATGGGATAGAGGGGAATATGATTATATCAATAAATGCTGGAAAAACAGCTGATAAAATTTAACAACCTGTCCTTATAAACCTCCCAAAGATTAAAATTATTTGAATAAAGACTGTTTTCCCACAAACAGTGGCAAACATAATGCAAAATGAAAAAGTAAAACTCAGTTTCCCCTAAAATCAGCAACCAGCCAGGAATCCTGGCAATCACCAGAATCATTCACCTGCTCTTAGAGCTTCTAGTGAATTCAACAGCCCTAGTATTTTGCATGAAATTTGGAATGGAAGAACCCAAAATTTCCTTATCAAAAACTGACTGAATTTTCATTTTTAAAAAGTCATGAAAATCAATATTTTGGTGAGGTAGCTGAAAATGAATAGGTAATTAGAGCTAGAAATGGAAAAATAACACATTCACAGTAGTGACAAAAAACTAATACACTTAAAAATGAGAAAAACAGAATAAATATGAGGAAAACTATAAAATATTTGATCCTTCCAATATTTGATAATGTTGGAAGTCATAACAAAATATCCTAGAATACAAATTCCAATGTTTCTCCACAGTGAACTAGATTAGACGGCTAGCAGTATAAACCATGGGACCTAAGCATCACGAAATACTGATGAGCAGTTAATAAATAGATATAGCATTTAGAACTGGAGCAATAATCCCAGCATATTCATAAGTGATCAACAGGCACATATTACCACCCTATTTTGTAAAACAAACATAAAAAGCTACATATATATATATATATATATATATATATATATATATTATGTATATGCACGTATACAATTATAGATATCTTTATGCAATCATAGGAATATAAAGAAATATTGGGGATTGCTACCTATCCAGAAACTAGTTCTAGTTTGTACCTGTTTTTTCATTCATTCATTTGCCAAATATTCCACCAGCACCCACTGTACATTAGTCTTAGGAACTGATGTTCCAGGCATAGCAAGCACATATAGACCATTTGCCAGATGTTAGGGATGCACGTGGCAGCAGGTGATGGACACAAAGTCTCACGTGCCTTCACATGGCTCAGGACATGGAGGAGACGGTGGGAAACCCCCTAAGTGAAATGATAGCGTGTCTGATGGACTCTGAAGGAATCTGCACAGAATGCTGCTGGAGAGGGCCAACTCCAAGGAGGTGACACTGAAGCTGATCTCAAAGACGAGCAGACAGATGTGACAAATTCAGAGGGCAGCTCACTGAGAGGGGCAGTGTACCAAGGATCCTGAGCCAGAAAGACGGACTATCCCAGGAATAGACAAGGCTGGTGTGGTGGGGGAAGATCCTAAGATTTATAAACAAGTCTTTTCATTCTGATTGGAATTTCCAGTGTGCATGCTGTCACCAAAGTTTTAAATATCAAAGTGAATGTGAAATGCCATTGCTTTCTCTTGGATCTTTCAGTGATAGCAAAAACATTTCTCTTTCATGCCTCTATAATTTGGGCAGGCTGACTAGATTTCTTTCCTATCTGAGATGTACCAATTGGTTTGGTGATATTTCACCTATTCATTTCCCTCTATCTAACAGAGAATCATTAATGGTTTTCTATCCTGTTAGATTTTATCATGTCACTTTTAGGAAATCAGTAATACTCATTCTTTCTCAAGTAGGCCACCTCCTCCACACACATTTGTCCTCATCCACACAGGCCATAGGATGTCAGACATTTAGAGCAAGATCTTCCAGGGGTCATCAGCTCTCCCTCCACACTGCAGAATGAGATTCATGACCTTTCTGCCCAATGGCAGAACCCATTGGTAACTAACTTATTAAAAGAGAGGTCACAGGATCCGGATTCCTGTTAGCACACCCAGAATCTGGAAGTCCCCTTGCCAGGATCTATAAATGCCAAAGAACTATTGATCAGATTAAACTTCAAGTCTGTTACCTGATCAAGGGCAAAGTGCAAGGTGCCTCAAACCCAGCACTCTGTGTTTATGGCATTTAATACTTACTGCATTAAATTGACAACTACCCACTGAAATGCCCAGAATAAAATTCCTAAAGCATGCTTTCTTAAACTCTTATTAGATCTAAAGAATAACTCAGAAGATTATACCAAAGACAGAAACACTGATGTCTAGAAGACACGCAGGACAGAATTTGACAAAAGAGGACATTTAAAACTACCTCATCATGTTGCCCTGCATATATCTAAGAAAAGTTCCTTCATCCAAAGTACTTGTGATAATATGGGCAGGTAAAGTTCCCCTCAAATACACACCTGGGAGATTGGCTTTGTGTGAAGGCAGTTGATCCCACCAACAAAAACCATATTGGGCATGATGGGCATGGGGTAATCCTTCACAAAGTCCTTTCTCATCAGCCAGACTGAGGCTGAGCTCAGAAGGTCCTGAAGAGTCAGGTCTCTCTGAAGGACTTGTGAAGCGAGTGCTGCGTAAGGGGAATAAACCATACTGCACAGAAAGTTCTCCAACAAGGCAATGAGCACGTTCTTCACTCGCTGCAGAAAGGTCATGTGATCTGAGTTTGAAGTCAGAGCCCTGGGCACATAGGACAGTGGGCTGGGGCACTGGGTAGCTTTTAAGTCCAGGCCGCAAGGCAGTGCATTCAA